CCGGTCTAAAGGGTGTTGTTTGTATCGCCGACGACATCCTAGTGTTTTTGCAAAGGTGAAAACAAGGAAATTGCAACAAGCGATCATAACAAAAACTTAGAAAAACTACTTAAACGTCTGCGACAAGAAAACCTCAAAATCAACCGGGACAAAGTAAAGGTCTGCCAAAGCGAAATTAAATTTTTCGGACACATACTCACAAGTGAAGGCATAAAACCAGACTCAAGCAAAATTTCAGCTATAAAACAGATGCCTACGCCTAAAGACAAAAAAGAAACATTGAGGTTTCTAGGGCTAATAACATACCTAAGCAAATTCTTAAAAAACCTATCCGAAATAACAGAACCGCTACGACGAGTGACACACGTGAAAAGCAATTTTGTATGGGAGGACGAACAGGCCGCCGCATTTTCAAAGTTAAAAGGCATCATAACAGAAACGCCAGTTTTAAAATACTACGACGCGAACAAGCCAATCGTTATACAGACCGACGCATCGTCGTTTGCGTTAGGCAGTGCATTGCTACAAATCGGACACCCCATAATATATGCTTCAAAAACGTTAACACCCACGCAACAAAACTATGCACAAATCGAAAAAGAGATGCTGGCTGTCTTATTCGCATGTAAGCGATTCCACCAAATATATGCGGGAGAAAAAACATAACCATCGAAACCGATCACTCGCCGCTAATCAACATATTCAAAAAGCAACTTTTGAAAATCCCGAAAAGATTACAACAAATGATCCTAGAACTACAGAAATATAATTTTACAATCAAATACAAGAAAGGAGCCGAAATGTATGTAGCCGACACATTGTCCCGGGCACCAGAAGACTGCCACTCTCAGAGCTGCGTCGAAATCTACAAAATCGACAAAGAATTCAGGCAATTGAACAACATTAATGACATCGAAGATAAACCCATTAGTACCACAACAACGAAAAAGTTACAAGCAACAGCCAAAGACAACGTTATGCAAATTTTAATAAAGACGGTTGGAACGAGGACAAGTCAAAAGTGAACGACAACATCAAACAATATTGGAAAGTAAGAGACGAGTTAGTCACAAGCAATAATTTGGTTTTTAAAGGTAATCGACTTATAGTACCACAACAAATGAGACGCGAAATATTGAACAAACTACACCAACCACACCTAGGCATCGAATCAACACTAAAACTGGCAAGAGAAACCGTTTACCGACGAAATCAAACAGATGATACAAGCCTGCGAAATATGCAACGTAGCTGCAAGACAACAGCAACGAGAACCACTTATAATTCCCGAGATTCCCCACACTCCATTCGAAATCATTTCCATGGACGTCTTCGAGTTTCCGACAAAAAATAAAACAAAATATTTTCTAATCACCGTGGATCACTATTCAGATTTTTTTGAAATCGACGAGTTAGATAATTTGTCAACCACTACTACTATAAACGTATGCAGAAAGAATTTTAGTAGACATGGTGTACCCGGCAAAGTCATTACAGATAATGGGACCAACTTCATGAACTCAGGGTTCAGGAAATTCGCACACAAATGGGAATTCAATCATCAAACGTCAAGCCCACATCACCAACAAGCTAATGGGAAAGCGGAAGCAGCTGTAAAGATCGCGAAACACCTGTTGAAAAAGACCTTAGCCACAAACTCGGATTTCTACAAAGCATTACTAATTTGGTGAAATACACCAAACAAAATCGGCTCCAGCCCACCCAAACGTCTATTTTGCAGATGGCTAAGATGCGACATTCCAGCCACAAATCTAAACCAAGAAGTAGTACCAGACGTACCAAATCAAATAAAACAACAACGGACATATAACAAAAAATACTTCGACAAAGGAACACAAAAGGAGAAAGATCTAAAAATAGGAGACGAGGTATACATAAAGCGAAATCCAAAAGAAAGTTGGGTTAAAGGAAAAATCGAACAAAAAGTAGCCGAACGATCATTCGTCATAAACGCAAAAAACAAACTATATAGACGAAACACTATTCACATAATGAAACCAAACACCAAGAAACGGAAGTCGCACGAATCACAGACTCACCTTCAAATGGCAAACGACCACCTTATCGAACCACCTCAACAAAAACCTCAGGAACCACAGCCTCATCTCCAGGTACCAAATGAAGAACAGCGTGAAGTACCTCAAAAGGCGGAACAAAGTAACCAACGGTCAACACGAACAAGTCAGTCAACTGAACCCCAGTCAAATCAGGAAGAGTTCAAGCAAAATCCACAAGTCGAAGGAAGTGCCCCCCGTCGGAAGACTACTTTCGAAAACCGTCAACAAGATGGCAAACCAAGTCAAAGGTCACGCAGAGAATGTAGAGCTCCAAGAAAGCTTGACTACGAGGTCTACTAAAACTTTAAATCAAAGGGGATGTCATAATACAGGATCATATGGCAACCCTGAAATACGAAACAGAAGAAGCAGCAACACGAGAGGAGAATGACAGCTGAACAGGTTCGAGAATCATCTATCTGACCACGCGGTATCAAGACATAAGATCAAAAATACGTTTATATCTTCTTCTTCTTCTTTTTTAATATTGCCTGATTATAAAAAGGCAATAATATGACAATCGAAAAAGAAAATAAAGTTAAAAATGGCAACGTCTTCATTATAAAAAGGCAATAAGATGACCATCGAAAAAGAAAATAAACTTAAGAATGGCGGTGTCTTGCGCTTATTTGCAAATAGTACCACTAATCAATACATATTTGCGTGATTTAATTATTTGCAAATAAAAAGTTAACTCAGCGTTTATACGGCAAATTTTACCATTTTGCAAATTATTATTTCCAAATAATACGTGCGTATAAACGTAGTATATTTCACCATAGTAAAAATATTAAGGCCCGTTTACACACAGCTTTGGCGTTGCGTTGGCATTGGCGTCGCCTCGACAGCTGACTATGTATACATGCATTTATATGAAAGTCTCCATATAACCAAAGTTGGGCAACGCCAATGCCAACACAACGCAGAAAGATGGCCAACTCCAAACGTTTTGGCCGCGTTGTTGTTTTTAATCAAATGCGGGCAAGAAATATAGTTTTTAATGCAATTATTGATGTAAAATTTTGATTTATCTGCCGCTAGTATGTTAATTTAGTGACCAAAGTATTCTGTGCTAAGCGTTCATTGTAGCAAGCACGTACGTTACTCGCGCTGCTGTCAAAGCGACGCCAGCGCCAACGCAACGCCAAACTTGTATGTGGACGGGCCTTTATTCAACAGCTTTCCCGGTAGAACCATGAACGAAAGACACAAGATCCCGTAAGAAAAAGAGGGTGAAAAAAGTCGATTTTTTTAGCGGGTTCTACGCCATCTTGTTTCACTGGAAAACGAGCGAAAAGTAAGCAAAGCAAAGAAAACAACGAAAACCAAAGTTAGCCAAAACTATTGTCCGACACTTTAAACGCACAATTTAGGTAAAATGATGCAACAAAATGCTTTCAAATGTGTTGTCATATTGAATTAACTCTTCTTTATTTGAATAAAAGTGTAAAATAGTGGTGCTTGTGATGTAAACAAACGCTCAGCTGACGAACCCGCTTTCGCAAACTTTTTTCTCAAAACCAGTTACAAATACAACGTCGCGTTCTTACGTGATCTTGTATTTTTGGTTCATGGGTAGAACTTTGTTACCGATTCATACACGCCCTTTGGTACAAAACATCGATATTTTCGATGCATCGATGTTTTTCCGAAATCTGTGTTTCGAAGTTATCGACTTATTTTTATTTTTGTTTAAACTAAAATATAAACACGCTGCTCTGCTTCATTTTTCGTAGTTTTGAGATGGCCGCTGGACCTATTGCTGAAAGGAATCAGGGTACTAACATATCCTTGGGTTTACGATACAATATTTACATTTCCTCGTTTTTAGATGCAACGATATACGTTGGCGGACTTGACGATAAAGTTTCTGAGACACTGCTATGGGAACTGTTTGTTCAAGCAGGACCGGTGGGTAAGGATTAGATATTTGCGGGAAACATTTCCCATACTTGAAACAATGTAAAAATGAGGGGGCGTAGGGCGGGTCCCCCTGATTCTAAAGCCGAAAACCCCTCTCCGGAGGCTTATAGTTTTCCTTGGGGTAGGCGGGGTGTTGGTTAATGGTGGAATTTTCAAAATCGGGTGGGCTTTAGTAGTCAGCCGCACCTTGTGTTTTAAGAAAACCAGGTGGAATTAACAAGTGAAACTTGGTCAGGATGTTAACGGAGGTATCCTCTAAAACATGTATAACTAAAAAATATAAACAATATCATTGTTTATAAGTTATTTGTTGTTAAAATTTTTTAAGTCGTTCCACTTGGTTTCCTTAACAAAAAGTGCATTTGTCACATACTTTCATATATATATGTAAATACACATAACACTGTACTTAATACTTTACACTTTTATTTTGGTAATTCTCTAGGGTGGGGTAGCAACCCCTAAAAAAGGTGCGGAAAAGTCGGGAGGGGTACCAAACGACGCGTTTCGGCCCTCCTAATAACAATCCGGAGGGGGGGCTAATATTATTAACCATTTAAAAGTTATGAACAAAAAACTTTTGTTAAATTTCGTTGTTTTCTATGGGCAATTACACCGGCAAAGATTCACTAAATCGCCTGTTCTCACTTTTTAAACACTATTAAAATATATAATTTAACTTATTTATTAAAGAAACACATAGTTTTATCAACCTAATACTATGTCTCCATTGTGAGGTTTAATGAAGATTTAGCCCTCTGACGAGATTTGGCGTTAAATCTTTTGAGATTTACCATATAAAATTAAATCTCGAAAGGCGGTAGATTTAAGTTAAATCTTCGTCAAATCTTCAATAATATTGGTCAATAAGTACAATTTGTTGGATGTGGCAACCACAAATTCACATGTTATAAGTCAAATGACATTTGTGTTTTCAATATACAGTTGAGGACATTGAAATCTAGCCTATCATAAAAACATAAATTTTCGTATTTTTAGGAGTTTTTATATTTTTGTTAGTTTGGGAGGAAAATTAGTAATACATATGTACTTAACTTTGGTTGTAATAAATTAAGAAAATATTTTTTTAAAAACTAAAAATTTAGAAGAAATGTTTTATAGTAATATAATACAGAGTCTTCTCCGCTTTCTATAAGTCATTTGCGCTCTCCGACAAAAAATTTATAAATTTCGGTGATGGTTCTGCTTCGATAACATTGCACCGAACATCCTCTAGAACTCAATTCGTCTTCATGATATGCCAAAGGCCCATGATTAGATTTTCGGTTCCACCCTATGAATAAGAAAGTTCTAGAAAAATTTTTCTTTCCGCAAATGTTTTTTACCGTTTCGATAATTTTTCTTAAATTCGGGAAAATGATTGGGAATATGGTACCATTCTTTACATTTTCCAAACTATATATTATACATACATATTTACCACGAATAAGAAGCCAATAATACTAAGAATTCACATAATGAAATTCCGCTTGGCACCTTCCTTTTATCTGTCTGTATATCAATGTCCGCAACTGTATTTATAAAATCATACATAAGCAAACGTCAAATATTTAAAAATGTGAACGTCAAACATATCTCGTTGTGGTAATGGAGACGGTTGTGATTTAGCAACTGGATTTATTAAATCTTAATGAATAAATCTCTCAATGGAGACATAGTATAAGATAGATTATTTTGTTATTAAAAAGAAGTTGACAATCTTTGCGAGCTGAAACGCGAGATTCCAAAATAGCTATAGTGCTGCCACTGTATTAGTATTTCGTAATAATTCACTTTTCCTTATGAGATGTGTGCACTGTTCAATGCTTTTCGGTATCTTCTTTCGTTTAATATATATATAAATAATGAAAATTTTTAATAAAAAATCGCGCGATTTTTTATTACAAGTTTTCGCCTGCGGCCCTTTTTCTATAAAAATTAATACTTCGATAAATAATTAAAATTTTTAATAAAAAATCGAGCGATTTTTTATTAAAAATATTCGCCTGCGGCGCTTTTTCCATAAAAATCAATACCTCGATAAATAATGGAAATTTTGGCATACATCAAGATAACCAACCGTTCAGCTATAGAAAAACTAAAAATGCAGATTGCTAGTACTTTTTACGCTGATTTTAACTATATAAATATTATTTGCCGCAATTAAAAAGCAAAGCAGATATAAGAGGTAAAACAAAAAAATTGTGATATTTTAAAACATTAATATTTTCTAAACTGCGTAACCGATTTAAAAACTAATGATGTCAAAATAAAGACAATTAATTTATTTTTAATATTTTTATTGAGCTTTGTACCACGATTGTTTATTA